GTTTTTTACAAGAAATTTAATGGTGCTATTTATTTTGTAGTTGGTGTAGCATTTAATAACGAAATTGACAATTAATGATTATTGCGCCATTTCTTTTGTAATAAACATACAAACATAAGCACGTTTTGCACATAGAAAACGTTATGGCGGGAGACACTCAGATTACCTTGCTGTCAATTCAGTATTTCCAAAAACAGTTTTCTTTAAATAGTGCTAAGTGGTTTCATAAGTGATTTAGCAATTTTGATAATTGCAAATTATTGTTTAGTGATACAGGTGATTATGCCACCCAAGAAACGCCCTTTCTATGGAAAGTCTTCTGCCGCTAAAAGAATGCAAGCACAAAGAGCAGCTGAAACAGAAGAAGAACGCAATGAAAGACTTCAAGCACAAGCTGTAAGACAGGCTGCTCAAATACAGGAAGAGACTTTGGAACAACGTAAAGTTAGACTTCGAGCTCAAGCTGAAAGGCAGGCTACTCAAAGACAGCAAGAAACTGTTGAACAGCACAAAGCCAGAGTTCAGTCAGAATCATCAAGGTAAGCTGGATATAGACCACAAGAAACTTCTGAACAACGTTAAAACATACTTCGAGCACAAAAATTAAGACAAATAACTTACAGAGAGCAAGAAACAGAGAAGCAACATGATGTACGACTTTAGGCTCAAAGAACAAGACAAGCTCAAACACGATCTAATTTCAAATAAAGCTTTGTTTGATTAAATACTTTTTTTATTCCTCGCATCACAGCTTTCGTCTACTTACTGAATAATTTGCTGAAAAAATACTGATCTATACATTTCAAATCTAAATTTTCACCGTGCAACGCCGGGTAATTCAGCTAGTAGCTATAATATCAGCATGATGAGAGTATAACAAGCCAGAAATCACCATGCTCACGTTACAAGTATTATAATATCAGCATGATGAGCATATAAAAACCAGAAATCATGACGTTACAAGGATTATAATGTCAGTTTAAACTTAATATCGGTTTAAACTTGAGTATAAAACATCGTTACTCTCATATTAGATATCTCTTTTTACACACACACCATTATTATATGTTAATATGTCAAGACATCAACACTTTATAACATAGACATTATTATTATAAAATCCCGAAATTGCTTCTGTGACATTAAAAAAAAAAAAGATGTAGTTTACTTTAGAACAGCTAGGTGGAGTGGTGTAAATCCTTCTGACGTCACATTTTCGACTTTGCATCCGAGACTGAGAAGAACCTGAGACAGAAACAATAAATAAAGTAGATAATATATATCGAAAATGTATGACACAAACTCTGTTAATGCAGACGTATTGAGAAGGTTGTTCACTATTTTGTAAATCTTCTGATCTGATAATATTGTGATAAAAAAAGTCACAAAAATAGTAAGTCTGTAACTAAATTCAACTACTGATCGACGGGCAGACAGAATTTGAAATGATATTTTTCCAAACTTCGTATTGAAATTAGGTAACTGATTAAGAAGAGTGTGATGAAAGAATCTGTAGCCTAGCACGCCGTTCCATTACACGTAACTTCTCAGAAAAAAAAAAGTTGAATTTTTTTTTTGTAAAACATGAAAAAACAACAACAAACAAATAAAGCAAAAAACACTGGTTTAAATGAAGAACATTTAAACTTTAACGTTTACAGAAAACAAAACTGCTGTGTTACTATATTCACTAAAGTGGAGTAAATTATGAATTAAGCATGACCAGGATAAACATAACTTTAGGCCACAAACGTGAAAAAGACAGACACGTTTAACTTACGTAAGTTATATATAGTCTAATTATTTAATAAAAATAAAACTGAACAGATTAAAAGGTTTCTGACCTCAACGCAACTTGTATGGCCGTTCATAGCAGCCAGGTGTATTGCTGTATATCCACTGGGGTCCAGGGCTACAAGGTCAGCGCCCTCTAGTGCCAGGAACTAGAATCACATTTTTAACATCGATAACATGGATAACACAAACATAAAGAAAATTACATACAAGCTCTAGACGTTTCCACAAAGCAGATTCCGACTGTTGCTAGTTAGTTAAACAATTACTGTAATGACATCTCAATTCTTCCTACTTAAAAACCTTCACATAATTATTCATCTCCGAATTTTGGACAACGACTTCCGGTATGACATTGAACTATGGTCTGAAATTAAGAAGATTTGACCATGTGGTCTGAAATTGCTAAAAGTTGGCCACTGTGTTTAGAAGTTAAAGGTGGACCATACTAAAAAAAACAGATGAAATCATAGCGAATTCCTAAAGAAAACAAGCCCACCTATCGAAAGCGCTTAGATTTACTGGACCTTTTGACCCCTCTGTTTTTTTTCCACTATATGAGTATACCACTGTGGACTAAAATCACTAAGAGTTGATCACTATGGTCAACTGTATAAAGACAATTCCCCCATCTTATACATACAAATATACACGACAGTTCAACCTATCTTTTTCTGTTGTTTTTTATGCCTTCTTCAACAAATCGGTTGTCAGTGGCACAGACTTTGGATATTACTGGTTGTTAGCGGGCCTTGGATATTACTGGTTGTTAACGGGCTTTGGAGGTTACTGGTTGTTAGCGAGCTTTGGAGGTTTCTGGTTGTTAGCGGGATTTGGAGGTTGCTGGTTGTTAGCGGGCTTTGGAGGTTACTTGTTGTTAGCGGGCTTTGGAGGTTACTGGTTGTTAGCGGTCTTTGGAGGTTGCTGGTTGTTAGCGAGCTTTGGAGGTTTCTGGTTGTTAGCGAGCTCTGGAGATTACTGGTTGTTAGCGGGCTTTGGGGATCACTCTTTGGGTAACGGCCTTTGGGGTTTACTGACTGGTTCGCGGATCTATTTGGCTTGTTTTGAGTACTGTATAGATTTTGTGATCAACCTCAGTTGTCAAGACCCACGCTTTTTAGAATTCCATTAATCATGACTCATGTTTATTAAGTTTAATCCACTACTGCCTCAGTAGTTTTATTTATTTAAAACAGAATAAAACCATGTCTAATAATAATAAATTATCAGAAAGATTTCCCGCCACCAGAGATAAAAGAGGGACACATGTAAAGACAACAAAAATGTTGTAGTACAAACACTTACCTTAACAATGTCAACATGTCCATGTGTCGCGGTGTAGTGGATAACACTTACCTTAACAATGTCAACATGACCATGTGTCGCGGTGTAGTAAAAACACTTACCTTAACAATGTCAACATGACCATGTGTCGCGGTGTAGTAAAAACACTTACCTTAACAATGTCAACATGACCATGTGTCGCGGTGTAGTAAAAACACTTACCTTAACAATGTCAACATGTCATGTGTCGCGGTGTAGTAAAAACTCTTACCTTAACAATGTCAACATGTCCATGTGCTGCGGCAAGATGAATTGGTGTCCAACCACGTTCGTCCACTGTCCTGACCAATAGAATATCCACGTAGAGATTAGAATAATTTATCATCATTGCAATGTGGTTATATTAATAAGTTATCACATACACAAGACCGGCATAACAAGTTTGAGAGCCCTTAGGCCTCTGTCACGGTATTAAATAATACATATAGCGTATTGTATTATTAGATTAGTTGTGTGAATACTAAAAGGATTAACTAGGAAATAGAAAATCCACAGCCAGGGTCTTAGGTCCCCCCTCCTACAGAAATGACTAGTATATATAGCATATTGCATTATTAGTGTACTCGAACTAGGAAGTCGAAATTCCACAATATGGGACTTGGGTTCCATTTGTTAAGATGGTCCTCCACATACACACACACACATATAAACTGAATATATATTACTGGGATATTACCGGTCCAGAAGATGATATTTTTTGTTTATGTCAGTAGGGCGGTGTGAATCAGGGTGTAGGAAAACTGGTCCAGAAGATGGATTTTTGTTTATTCAGTTAGGGCGGTGTGAATCAGGG